TACCTAACAGTTATAATAACTGATTGAATGTTCTTGTCTGGTCTGTCATGTATGGACCCTTTTCTCTTGCATGATTTTTCTCATGTGGGTGGTATTTTCCTGTCAGACATTGCCAATTTTACCTTTTTTGGTGCTGAGCATTTTTGTATTACTATAAATATTCTTGAGCTTTGTTCTGGGACACAGTTAAGTTCCTTGGAAATGGCTTTATTCTTTTGATACTTGCTTTTAATTTTGTTAGATGGAACTAAAACTATATTTAGTTTAGAGCTTATTTTGCCCCACTACTGAGGCAGTGACCTTCTGAGCACTGTACTTGATGTCCTATGAATTATGAGGTTTTTCTATTCTGTTTGGTAGGTGTTCCTGGCCCTGTGTGAGCCATGGGCAGTGATATGATAGACCTTGTGTGTGCCAGTTGTTAAAATATCAGGAAGTTTGTGAGCTGGTTTAATTCTTAAGATAATTAAGTCATACAAACTTATAATTAAATCAATTATATTAAGAGCAAAGGTAATAAATACTCAAAACTCATTACTTCCTACTTCTGTTATTCCACATTACTATTTTTGTGCTCTGGTGGTAATTTATGTTTACTGTATATCTATGCTAGAAATACTATACAATGTTTAATGTGGTATAATGTATCTCTTCCCAACTCTGCTTGCTCTCAGTGATATCACTTGATGGGTGGGAATATTGACAGCACAGACACTGGTGATCCTATAAACCAGGAACTATAGACCACTCAATGCCCCCATTTGTTGCACATTTTCCGGCATACCCCTGGATATGAGTACCTTTCTCTGTCCTCCCTATGAGTGGTTTTCCAGTGGTCCAGTACCCAGCTCTAGACTTGAAGGGGATCTCTGCAGATATTTTGAGGTCTTCCCTCTCTCTACAGCTCCCACCTCTTTGGTACAGTGTTTTGGGGACCATAGCTACTTTGGTCTTCCCAGACTCCTCATTTCATCACCTTAACTCAGGGATACTGCTGTGCTTTGTCTGGGATAACCCTCCCTGCTCTGCAGCCTGGAAACTAAGCAGTAATCTGGGGCAATTAAAGGCTTTATTTATGTTTCTTATTCATTGATCACTGTCCTACTCTATCTGATGATAAAGCACCTTTCCAATGTCTGATGAAAAGCAACTTTAATATATATGTCCAGATTTTAAGTTATTTCAGGTGGGAGCATAAATCTCATTTCTGTTAGTCTGCCTTAGCCAGAAGCAAAAGCCGCTTGGCAGGGTTTTAGATAGGAAAGTGACATAGTGTGCATTTTAGGCCAGTCTGTAGACCATGCACTCGCAAGGGACAAGACTTAAAGTAGAGTGACCAATTGCAAGGCACATATATTAATTCAGGTGATGATGAGGCCAAAGGTTGGTCATGGTTGATGATGATACTAGGAAGGTGGGGAAGGATTTGAGAAATATGTAGGGGGAAGAATCTAGTTCAGAGTTTCTAAAAGGATGGATCATGAACCATTTACATCTGAATCACCAGTAGTATTTGATAAAATTACAATGCTGTTTCCTGCCCCAAGTTTATTGAATCTGAATTTCTAAGGATGAGGTTTAGAAATTTGTGTTTTAAACAAGCCTTAGGGTAATGCTTACAGCTAAAGTCTCAGAAGAAACTCATATAGTTTTTTCAAAATATGATCCTCATCTGGGCAGTCCCCAGTGGAACTGGGGATGATCTGAAGTGGTTAATTAAAAATAAAGGTTTACCCATGCATGTCCAGACCACTGAATCTGAATTTCTGGGGTAGTTGGTTTCAAGAATTTCTTAGGCACACTAAAGTTTGAAAACCAATAAACTAAAGTACTGCACAGACATCATCTCTTTTGAACCTCACTATAACCCTGAGAGGTAGTAGGTGGGTATTATATCTCTTGCTTTATAGATGAAGAAATGAAGTACAGAAGCACAAAGTGGTTTGCCTGTGGTAAAACAGTTATTATTGGGGACAGAAATCATACATCTTCCACCAAATCTGATGCTCTTTGTGCTATCTTTCTGTTGCCATTAAAATAGGTTATTTCTAAAATCTGTAGAAGGTATCCAAGACACTGGACCTGTGGTTCCAAACAATTTAGGAAGCCAGGAAAATGTGCTCTTTTTTGGTCATACTTTGTACCAAATAAAAATCTGGTGTGTCACTGGCCTGGGTCCCAGTCAGCTGAGTGATCCAGTTGTGCCTCCAGCCAAGACCTCACTAAAATGCCCTCTCAAATGGAACACCATGGAAACCATGATGTTCACCTTTCACAGATTTGCTGGGGATAAAGGCTACTTAACAAAGGAGGACCTGAGAGTACTCAGGGAAAAGGAGTTCCTTGGATTTTTGGAAAATCTGGCCATGGACAAAATAATGAAGGCCCTGGACCAGTGCCGAGTCGGCAGAGGGCTTCCCGAGCTTTTCCCCACTGATCGTTGGGTTCACCATCGTGCGCAATGACTGCTTTGTAGTACACATGAAGCAGAAGGTAAAGAAGTAGGCAGCACTGAGCAGTTACTTCCACCCTGATAAGAGTTCTCTCAGTGGCTTACTTAAGGAATCTCTGCACCACAGCGTTCCCCCCCTTCTAAGGATTTCATGATAAAATTGGGAACCTTAGAAAATGTGCAAATAAAATCCCACCCCCATTTGACAAGAGAAAGAAAAGGCAATTGAAGCCAGATATATTTTTAATTTTTATATTGCTTGCATTCTCTTGCCCTCAGTAAACAAATTTCTGTTTTAGTTCCTAAAAAAAAAAATTGTTGGTTCAGCTCTCTATAGCAAGTACCTGTGATGAGCTTAATTGTCCGGGACAGATGTTTCTGTCTTTGATCATTGTTCCAAATGCTTTCTACAACTGACTTTGAATATCCTTCTTTTTCTTTTAAACTTAGGACATAATGTAGTGCACATATTTGATATTTTTACTTAAAACAACTGAATTGGATACTAAATATTAGACTATAGTATAATCTTTTGAGTTTTTTTTCAAGGTCTTATAAAAACAATTTCAGTGTCTTATAATTTAGGTTGCATTTAGCTTAGACTTCATAGTTTTATTTGTATAGTATGTTTTGTAGCTTGTAACTTCGCTCTATCACTACAACTGATAATATTTTCTAGTGAGAGTTTCTGTAGGCTTGAAGTGATTTCTTATGTGCCATGAATTTGAGGTCCTGTAATCTGTTTGACACAGTAGTACCAGTGTTAGCTTGCAAACAGTAGGAAAAGTAATTCTTTTCAGTCAAGATTGGTTTTTGGATTTGCTTTTGGAATTCTTGAATAGTCAATGAATTTTATTAGTATGTGAAAACAAGCAAAGCTCTGTGGCAAGGAATAAATAAGAGGCTTTAGGAATAGGATATAAATGGTTTGTTTCCCATTTTGTATGCTTTTTAAAACACAAAATAGTTATTTTTTTTAAACTTCTGGAAGTAAGTTACCATAGTTAAATAATTCAAATTTTAAAAATTGTTGTAGGTTTTCACAATGCAGAGTAGTTTATCTGCTCCAGAAAGCATATGGCGTTTGTGCAAAATGCGTAAGTTTGAAATGTATAGTGAATGAAATGAAGAATATAATGTAGGGAATATAAGAGGGTTTTTTTTTTTTTTTTTTAGCTTTCACACATTTTTTATTGTGACCCACAATAAGTAATTCATTTTACATAGTAACTCAGTACACGCATCTACATAAAAAACAAAAATATCAAAATAACTTAAAAGTTTCACAAACTGTTCTTACTATTATGTCCTAGGAATATAAGTGTTTTACTAGTTTAACTTCCTTATTACAAGAAAATTTACAGCAACTTTAAAATTTAGGAATACTAACTGCTAATCTTTTATGGTATTACTTAAAGTCTTTTTTAACATTTGAAAAAAATGAATAGAGAATTGTTTTAAATGTTTGAGGATAGATGCCAGTGTTTCTTAATCACTACTCTATTTTCTTCCTCCAATTTTAAAAAAAATTGAGATATATTTGATGTATTATATTAGTTTCTACTCTGTTGTTGATGAAAACTTTGGCAGATTGAAAAAAACTTCAGTAACACATTTTATCCACAAAATAGCATAAGGCTATCTGCATTTTCTTGATCTTCACTCTTCTTATTACATAGGAATTTGGAATGGTATATCGTAGTGAATCATTTTAGAATGCCATTCATAGGTTTCTTTCTTTGATATATATGAATAAGTGTATAATGCTTTTCTTCATTGTAAACACATCAGTGCGTTTTTCAGACTTGTAATCTACAACCGTGTTTTCAAGAAGCTTACTTTTAAGGAATGTTTTTTTGTACAGTTACATCTTGGTTTATTTCTTTATTTTGTCACATTTATTTTCTATTTATTTCCAAAATAATGTTGACAAATTGGTCACAGAGGGATAATCTAACGAAAACCAAAATATTACTTTAAAAGACATTGCATATGTTAAAGCCACATTTAAGGGATCTTTTTTACTGCATTCGTAAGCATTATAGTTTATTCCCTAATATTGTAAAACACAAAATAGTACTTTTCTATTAATGTCTGAGAAATTACAGACTTTTGGAAAATTATATCTATGTTGGTAGTCAACAGGAATCTAAGCAGCTCTCAAATTTGTAAGAATTTAAATTTTGAAATATTTTATATGGGTACTCTGAGAAGTAGTTGTAAGAGTGTTATTTAGCAAATCATCAGTCATTGAAGAGAACACGTTTAGTAGCTAAATGTAAGGATTTTTTTTTAAATTTATTCGAAAATGCTATGTGCTGTGTGTTTAGAAATATCAGTTTTATCCACAAATCTGTAAGCAGTAACACATCCATAGTGACTATATTGTGGTTTCCCTTCACAGATATCAAGTTGTGCTAGTACAACCATATAAATAATTAATACCTGAAGTCTCAATGTAACATGGACATTAACAGTGCTGACAGATAAATGCAGACGCTTGGGAATCAAATACTAGGCGATTTAAAAAAGGTAAGAAAAATGTAATCTTAATTAAGGCCAAGCAGGCTGTAGTGTTAGAAGTAATTAACTAGTTTGTTTTTCATCGTATCAGGCTGTTTAAAAACACATCTGCATGATCCCGTCTGTCTTAATGCTGGTAGAACTCAGCTGTAAATATCAGTTCTGTGAAAATAACAGTTGCAGATATCCTTGCCTGGTGAATGTCATAATGGATGATGTTCCTATAGCAAACACAATACAAAAAGGTAGTAATGTGGCTGACTAGAACTTGATAGAGTGCTAGATTGGGCGTATCAGTGTATACTCAAGACACATCTTTTATTGTGGATCCTCTTTGTCTCTGATGATTGCTATCACCACCATGTACTATAGAATGTAATGTTTTGCCATGTTTCTGAAAGGTTTCAGGGTTGGGTACAAAGCAGTTGACCAGTTGGAATCTTTGTTATAAGAAGAATGAGTTTTCAAGTTAAGGTTTACTTTTTATAGGACCATGGTTTCACTGTGTACCCTCATGTTAATTTCAAACTTTTTTTTTTTAAGGGCAGTATTAAGTTATGTTACTTAGACAGTTTTTCTGCCTTGTGCTTTTGAAGAATTTACAAGGCATATTTAGGAGAGGTTGCATTTATAGGTATTAGATATCAGTCGTTCACTTTCTAGCTGAATAAAATCATTGTCTGTTTTTACTAGGCAGTGACTCTAGTTTAAAAAGCTTAATAAATTACATCAGTTTTAAAATTGTAATCCTTAATCGAAAGTAGTGCCATTTTTAGAATATCTAGTTTTAAGTTTATAATAAAGTGATAATTTACACCATAAACATTGCTAGTCTTTTCCCTGGTGTTTCTCCTTGTTTCCAAATGGGTATTCATAATAACTCATTTAGCCAGGATCTCTGAAAAGGATATCATAATACATTATTATAAAATAAACTGTAATTAACCAGACTGTCCAAGAAATGGAATTTAATTAAGGTAATTAAAGTATCTGGCCAACTGGGTACTAAAACCCATAAAATGCTTATTGTTTTTGTCCTTGTTGAAAATCCATATGCCAAAATAATAGAAATTTCCCTTTAGAAGAGACTTGTAGCACTTTAATAATCATCAAGGTTATCATGTAGATATAGAAAACTTGGTTGATTATTTGGTATACATAACCTAAATTATTTTTGTTGTTCAGTCCCCAGTTTTGCTTATGAAGGCGAAAATTTTGGAAGGCTTCTAGAATAAGAGTTTATAAATTCTGTGTAAGGACTTTTATCAAGGGCAGTCTTTGGTCACCTCCAAAAAATATTGCCTGAGACTCTAGAAAAAGAACTGAGTCACATTTTGACTCCAACTAATATTGAGTTGTTGTAAGGATTTAGTATATGTCAAGCTTTTTTTGTTTTTTCTTGGTTTCTAAAAATCCTTTTCCAGTTTCTTAGTATCTCTGAAACTACAAAGTTACCAAGAAGTACCAGTGATGTTACTGTGAACAGATGTTCTGTTACCTGCTATTTCCTCTTATTATAGGAGTGAATCTATTAGCATAAGTTAATTTACTTCTTTAATTCTTTTTTTTTATTATTTTAAAGAAAGGAATTTAGGAGGTTCTAGTATTCTCCATGGCTGAAGCTGAGAGTCTGAAACCCTGATGCTTAAGCTCTATTGTAGATCATAGCTCCGACTCCTTCAGGATATAAGGAAAAGGGATATTTCCACAATGATAGATCTTTGGTTGTACAGGTAAGTTATTTAGTTTTGCAGTAGTGAAGACATCTACAGTTTGATTTTTTTTTTTTTTTAGGGGGTGGGAGCTTTATATTTTTTAATACTTCTCTGCATGGACAATTGTACAGTTCATGGGAATGTGGAGCTATAGGGAATGGGATGGGGTGAAATATTTTCCCACTCTTTTCCCAACAGGGAAATAAATGAAGTGACTAACTACATTGGAATCTCTAGAGCATATTTGATACCCTAGGTATTTTTGATTCAAGGGCATTATGAAATTCCTTGACTTCTCTTTCTCTCTAATTGTCTCTTTAAATGTGTATTCATTTAGCTCTATCTATCTATCCTTCTATCTAATCAATCATGTATCTGTCTCTCTTAATGGGGAGGAAACAGGAGATCTTTTTATACAAGACAATACATAATAGAATTACCAGGCTTCAGGAGAGGTGAATATTAAGAATCTTAAGTTGAATTGCATATGTGGTTCCCAGGTTTCGCTCTCCTACGTTTAACCTTATAGATACTTTTAACCTGATAGAAATAGTGGTAATTGCTTGGCCTAAGAAATTTGTCTTGAAAGAATTGTGTGACAAGGATATTCTAAACCATTATTAAACAGTTCAAATTTATGTTCTAGATCAGTAATTTTCAACCTTTCTCATCTCGGCACACATAAACTAATTTCTAAAATTCTGTGGCACAACAAAAAGGATATTTTTTGCTGATCTGACAAAAAAATGGGTGTAATTTTGATTCATTGTTACTGGACAGCTATTGTTGTGCTGGCTGTTGTCATTTTTTTATTTGGCAGTCCGAGGGAAAAGAGGTCAGTGCCCCTGACTTTTAAAAATTCTCCCCTCCCCTCCCCT